ACAGATACCACATCTGTGGCATATACTTGCCACAGATACCACGGAGTAGCGGCCTCTGTGGCAGATGCCGGAAGTACTTGCCACTGCCTGCAGATGCCACGAAATGAGCCAGGCCCTAATGCGTTTTTGTGTACACACAAGCATTCATCGAAAGTGGCGCTGAACCTTAATAATATAAAGGCTTGTATTTGCGTGCATTTCCTGTTCGGAAAGTGGCAATGTACTGAGAGTGGAGGTGTCCAGAGATTAGCGCCTGCAGGCTGGCTCCATGGACCTGTCAGCTCCGGACTGCGCAAAATGCGTACATGAAGCGCTACGTCATGAACGCAATAAATCTAACCTCGTGGGGGCGTGCTCATGTGATTGGCTTAGAATTGAGGAGACATCTGATTGGCTATAGATAGAAAAAATTACAAGTACGAATCGGCTGACCGTCAGGGGAGTCTAAAAAAACCCACACACGAATGCACAGCGATCCGTGCACAGAAAGCGGTTTGTGTTTGCAGGTTCAGAGGTTTTAAACGGAAAACAAATGTGTGGATCAAAAATACACATTTAAAACTTTTTTCTGTATTTGGATTTTATTTACATGTATATGAAACGGAACACATTTGTGTGTGCATTGAAAAACACAAGTGTGGATCCTTTTGCGGATCATGAAATACAAGTTTGAATCCTTCTGTGTGCATGTGTGTATTATGAGACTGTTCTGAGTCCATAATAATGTGTTATCGATGTAGATGCACATGAATAACTTTTTATAAAAATGAAAAGGGAAGTATTTTATTTTGAATTCGCGGCTCATTTTCCGGGATGGTCACATGGTATTTCAAGATGGCCGCGCCCAACAGCAGCGGAGTGTAGAGACAGACAGGGTTGTGAAAGCAGGTTTTACTGAAAGTCGAGGACCCGCAGGACGCAGCTGACATCTCCACAGAGAGACATAGGACCGTCTGAGTAACCTGTCTCCCCCACAGACCCGCCGACATGAGCCAAGACGATTTAATCCTGTAAGTAATTCTAAAACACAGGACTACCTTAGATTAAATGCTAGCATTTTGGTTCTTGCTGAGTGACATTATGAAACGTTCCTGTATCACTCTTAGAAAAGCATTCCTTTGCATAATATGAATTGGATATAGCGTGATGTTTATCGTTTTCTAATCGTGTTTTTGTCATTATATTAACGTTAACCCTGGAAACAATACATCTTCGGGAATATTGATCTTTCAAATAGTATACTGAAATGTATTTATTGAGAATAAAGCCCTTAAGATGAACAATCTCGTTTTCAAGGGGGTCCTGGCATAATACAAACAGCAAGTCATTCAGAAAAACCAACTACAATCACAACACACAATTTAGAGGTTACACATTCGAAAATTACCACTATATGGCCACAGAGAGGCCATGAACAAATACAGTAAATACAAACATCATGTGTTGTACGTGTTAAATCATCGATAGCATGTACAATTCACCTCAAAATAAGAAGACAAAGCATTTTAAAACACTTGAAAGGAAGTCAAGCATCTTATGTTTGGTGGTAAATTATTCCAATCCGAAGGTGCTTTGAACATAAATGATCTTTTACCAACTGCTGGATACTGACGGAGTGGAATAAAAGTAGTAGCCTATCCTTCTTTAGTTTTAGTTATGCCAGTTACCTATTTCATTTGTTACAGTTAAAGTTAACATTTAGTTTAGTTTACAGGCTTCAATGTTTAAATTAAGTCACTGCAAAACTATTCTCAATAATCCATAGAAAAGTTAGATTCAAGTCCAAGTTAAATTTCAGCTTGTGATGCATTACCGATACTTTTCATTCAACCGTTTTCCTACTGTTTGAAGATGATAAAAGGGTGGAGAAGTGGTATCTCTCATATCTCTCATTTCTTTCATTGGTACTCTTCTGTCCATATGATCGCTGTGGAAAGGGAGGGGTTTGCCTGGATGTTAGATAACGGAAGCTTGCTACTGTATTGTAACCCCTGGGCTATATTGATTAGGACAGTGTTTTTCAAAGTGGGGGCCCCGACCCCCTGTGGGGCCGCCAGGGGGCGCCAGGGGGGTCACGCAAAGTTTGAGGGAAAGGGGAACTTTTTTTTTTTTAAAGTTACATTTATTTATTTATTTATTTTTAGATTTTATGAATAACTGCATATCTATCAATCTATGTGTCCTTTGATGCCGATCTTTTAATATTTTTTACTTATTCATATATATATATATATTTTTTTAAATCACACGACCGCCCTTCAAGCCAATCAGAATCGAGCTGCCGCTACTGAGAGTGAAACTGAGTATCTGCTCAGCTTTTGGAGCAAGTGAGAGCTAGTGAATATTTCGCTCTGCAGCTGGATGAGAGAACGGATGTAGCAATTATTGATGTTTATATATGAATATAAATATGTTTATTGTTAATATTACTGTTGAATATTATATATAATATTATTAAGGCATAAGTAGCTTTCAAAAATGCTAAAAATATGTGTTAATTGTTCATATTACTGTTCAAAATTATATAATATTATAAAGACAGCAATCACTTTAAAAAGGCTTTAAAAATATGTTTACTGTTGATATTACTGTTTAATATTGTGTTAAGAATGTTTATAACAGAAGACACAATCAATGTAATGAATGACAAACAAAAGATAAATACAAAAAATGTTTAGAAGAATAACTGATTATTAATACAAATATATATTAAGAAAATGTATTAAGCTGTATGATTAATTTGTCATATTCCCCATCATAATGTACTCATCATTTAAAAAAAAGAAAATTGCAACAGGAAGGTCTCCGCCAGACGATAATGGCATGGCAAAGTTTGGGAACCCCTGGATTTGGACACTTCCAGCCAAACCCCTCAAAAAGGGCAATTACTTTTTGAATGTTTTACTTTTCTAATACCATTGTATTTTGTGTTTTACAAATAAAAGCTGATTGAAATCGGTGTGAATAATAATACGAATGGTAGTCAATTACAAATATTGAATGTTATTTGTTGTCAACAACAAGAAGAGTCACATCTCTGAAACTGAGAGAAACATGTACGTTACTTACCTCTGCATTTGTTCCGGTACTGGCTGCTGGGTAAAGTGGCTCTGGTGTAGTTTTATCACATCCAATTTTAGCTGTATTGGTCTACAAACTTCTGCCTAATTTTGTTAGTAGCACAAAAGGAACAGAGAAAGAAAGGAAGCATAGATACGCCTTTTAACAACAATATAACAATATAAAAAGATATTAGAGGGAATATGATGATCTGTTTAGCTCCCTAACAACAAAATCCAGAATGTGAATGTCATAAAAAGGTAAATGTTAAAATAATTGGGATTTTGTTTGAGTTTTTTACTGTGGTATCGGATTGGCATTGAAACAGGTGGAAAGTCTCTGGTATTGGTATCCGCGACAGCATTTTTGTGTTGTGAAATTCCTATTGCGACATTTAAATGTGATGTTTCTTCATAATGCAGTGAGGGTTCTATTTAGATTACATCCTGAATGGTTTACTTTAACTTTTTTTGTTTTTACAGATAGGGTAGCATTGTGAATACTCAACTGTCTGGCGCTGCTTTGAACATGACTCTTCAAGGCATCATTGCTTAAAAAAGACTGAGGCTAAACCGAGGGTATGTTTATTTTTTATTCAGCCCCAAGGACTTCCCCCAGCTCAAGAACGATACATTCCTGCGAGCCGCACGAGGAGAGGAAACTGAACATGTCCCTGTGTGGTGTATGAGGCAGGCTGGACGATACCTACCAGGTACTGTGATCAGTGATCGAATCATCACCTAACAAAAGTCACAGACTTTCTTTGCATTATTGTTTTGTTTAACCTTTCGGATTGTGACGACATAGGCTAATATTTTGTTGAATTTCATTTTCAGAGTTTCGTGAGTTCAGAGCAGGGAAGGACTTCTTTGACACATGTCGGTCGCCGGAGGCCTGCTGTGAGCTCACTCTGCAGGTATAGCAGTGTTTTTAAATCTTATTATGAAAAGTCAAATGTCAATAATATGAAAACATGAAATTCTTTACAATATTATTATTATTTTAAAATATGTGTTCTGACTTACCCCGGAAGAGAGCAGTGTTATAATGACTGCACTTCTATTTCTAATGATTTTTCATTGACTTAAACAAGAAAATACTCTTTTGCCCTTTAAATAAACAGAGAACTGCTTACATTCTCCTGTTGTGCTACATTTCTGCCCATGAACACATTAGGGATGCACGATATTGGGGGAAATATTCTGGGCAATATATGGAAATACGAAAAAAGGACATGTGGCCTGTTTGTTAAAAATCAGTGCATCAATCTAGACAAACGACAAGCATAAATTGCTACGTTGTTGGCAAACGCATCATCGCCTATTTGGAAAATAAAACGCTGCACTTTTTAAATCCCAGAGAATGCACCATCCTTACTGAAATACCACCTGGAGAGACATGGCTTTTCACACACCTACTCACAATTTTACACATCATGTGCAAAAATGGGGTCCATCTGTCTTATCGAGCCTAAAACGCTTTAACAGACACATTGGTGTTTTGAAATTGATCAAGTAGTTCTTTAACCAGAAGAGTTCACAACAGATGGCTAGCAACAGGAGGGAGCACACTGTTTCTACCGTGTGCAAAACAGGGGTATTTTTGTTGACACATTTGAAAGCCTGATTGTCAATGCAGACCTGCCTCGTGAAACTATTTAACAAACTTTATATCTAGTATCCAAAGTATGTTTGTGTCCATTTTTGTAGCATTTTAAATAGTCCACTTCACTGGGAAAAGTCTCTAACTGACTCTGCCACTGGAGAGACATGGCTATCCACACACATTCTCACCACTTAAATAATTGTCAAACAAGTTGATTTTGTATCTGTATTAAAATCTAAGATTCTACAAAAGTTACATTTGAGTTTCAAAAAAATTTGATCACTTTACACACATGTGGTAAACACAGAACAACAATATACTGAATTTCAATTAGGACATTTTATTTTCCTATATCCAAATACTTTTGGTAGTATTTGACAGACTTCTGGAGATATAGATGTTAATTGATTTTGCATATCTAAAAGAATATAGTGACGAATTTCCAAATCAATCATAGGCTGCAGTTATGCAAACTAAGCAATACAATTAACACCCATATTGTTTTTAACTATAGTCCTTGAAAAGATACAATCTAAAAACAAAAAAGCAATTCCAGATGGACAATTATTATTTTTTGAAGTCCTTTTAGGCAATAAACAACCACATTCTATTGTTTTTTTATTTTACAACTGTCTTTCTTTTATTCCGCTTTCAGCCTCTGAGACGTTTCCCCTTCGATGCTGCCATCATCTTTTCTGACATCCTGGTTATCCCACAGGTAAGGTTATCAGGACTCATTAATTAACATGTTGACATTACATCTATTTCCGTGATGTAAAGAGTAAGTGGCATAATAACATTGAACATTATATTAAGGGGTTATTGCCTTTTGAGAGGTTTTAGCTTTTCTCGTAGACATCAGTGTCTTATATA